CTGGACGCTGCATGTGCAGGTGCATTCATCTGGATGCTGCATGTGCAGGTGTGTTCACCTGGATGCTGCATGTGCATGTGTGTTCACCTGGACACTGCATGTGCAGGTGCGTTCACCTGGACACTGCTGCAGCAGGAACACATTTCAGATTTAATCCTGGAGACATTTTCACGTGTTAAGACTGAAGTTAGGATTAGATTAAGGACTAAGGAATAAAAGCACAGCAGACTCAGTGAGTTGTAAAAGTGTTTCTTACTGATTTAGTGTGTTCAGGGCGGGGGGCAACCACAGGCGGGGGCTCGGCCTCATCTTCTTCTTCATCCTCAGACACTGTTGCTACGGCGGGCGTCTCTGACACGGCCTTGGAGCTCTGCATGATGTCACAGGGGAAGAGGGGGCGGAGCCTCAGTGACATGGCTACACGAGAGATCATTGAAACCAGATCAAGCATCGCTTCCTGTCGCTCCTGCTGCTTCCTAATCTCATCGTGCCGACGTTCCTCTGCCTGACTAACTTCTCCTCCCTCTCTGTCTATCCACCTGTTCTCCTCCTCCTTCTCCTCTCATCCCTGCTGGTGTCTGAGTGCTCTGGTTGGTCAGGTTCTGATGCTTCTCCCGCTCTGTGATATTGTGATGCTCGGCTGGTGGCCGAGCTGCAGAGTCAGGGAAATGGCAAAAGGAGGAAAAGATGCTGATTCACAGTGCAGGGAGGAGGAGGGAGCACGTTGGCTTTAAAGGCATCAGGTGACATTTACACAACAGCAAAGAGAAACTTTCCATGTTTTATTTCTGTAAAACCTCATGTGTTTAAAGCTTCCTGCAATAAAGTCAGCCCAGAAAAAGAAATGAATAAACAGACGATCCAATCATTTACATCTTCACACGAGTTAAAAGACTTCACTAAAATCATCAGAAAAATGACTTTCTGTTTGTTTTCTTCTCACCTTCGTTAAATTCGATGACAGCTGGTCATCATCACCAAAAGATCTGCTTCTAAGTGAATCACTGTCCGGGTTTCCGTCTTTGTAAAACTGAATTATTGTGCCATGCATGTTAGTAAAGCTTGACCTCAAAACCCTAAAGAGACCCTAAAGAAACGGGGTCAGGTCTAGGGTCTGCAGAATCAGTGCAGGGCTGCTAAACCGGGACTGAAACCTGCTCTCAATAGAACTGAATAACAAATATTTAGAGTTTTTAGGCAACAACTTGATGATCCATTTCAAGATACAACATAGAACTTTTTTATGAAACACTTTAATATTTCATAAAAGTTTAAGCTGTTTTTGTGCAGTAAAGTGCAGGAACTGTTCTGTTGTTTACGCGAAAGCATCGACTTCGTGAAACTTGGTGAGTTTCAGACGATTCGTTTGTTTTTAACCCCGTGTTGTTTGTTTGTGTTCTGACTGGACGCAGAGATGGTAAAGAGAAGCTGTCTTACCGTCGTGGTGGACGAGTTGTAGGCATCTGTGTTCTTATCTGCAGGAACATAAAGAATTAAAAGAGGATTGTCCAACTAAATTATCTTCTTTTTGCAACTCACGAGATGTGCATGAGTGAGGTTTGGTTTGAAAGTTAGATTAACACACGATGGTTGAAATAATCCATCCTTTAGATATATGGTCCATGTTGAGCTGGACCAGATTATGAAGACCCCACGGATCCAAACGGGCTGCTGGGGGTTAACGTGCTGGAACCACTTCATGTATGAAGTCCAGAAAGTGGACTTCAGCGTGGGTCCACTCCTCTGGTTCTTCGATCTCAAGAACCGTTGCTTGTATTACGTATTAAGTGACTGATGCTGGCGTTTAGCTCAGTGTGTGTGTGTGTGTGTGTGTGTGTGTGTGTGTGTGTGTGTGTACCTGTGAAGCTCATGTATTTCTGGCTGTTAGCCGTTTCCTTTGAGTCGTAGAACTTTAAAACATCGAGGACGGCTTGAGGATTCTTTTTCTGCTCCAGTTTGGTGATGTTGGACGTCTGTAGGAGTCGGGCCCACTGCTCTGGCATCCCCTGTTGACACACGCACACGGAGACACACACGCACGCGCACACGTACACACACACAGACAGACAAGTATTACTGTATTGATTTGTATGTTTGTATAACTTCAATTGTGTACATGGTTCTTTTACTTTAAGACAAAAACAACATTTGTAAAGCACATCAGACCACACAAACCCACGCTCACTCATGCACGCACACACACACACACACACACACACACACACACACACACACACACAC